AGGGGCGCGAGCGCGGCGGCCCCGCTGAGCTGCGCGCACACGCCGGCGCCGCGCAGCCCCGAGCCCCGGGAGCAGTCCCCGGGCGCGCAGCAGCCGGTCAGCAGGCGCCACGTGCGCGCGCTCAGCACGTAGCCCAGGACGAAGAGCACGAGCGCCGGCACCAGCAGGAAGACCAGGCCGTAGGGCAGGTTCCAGGCGGCGGTGCAGGGGCACTGGAACACCGCCGCCGAGAAGATGCGCTCCCCGCCGGCCGTCAGCAGGGTCAACAGGCCATAGCCCAGCGTGCTGCCGTGCTTGAGGTGCAGGTCCAGCACCGCCCGGAGCTTCTCCATGGGTCTCCTACTCCCGGCGTCGTGGACAGGCCCAGATGCTTCTGCCTCTCCGCTGCCCTAGCCGTCGTGTGGTTTGGGTGCACTGGGGTCTGGGGCTTTCCGCTCTGCTAAAAAACACCTTTCGAAAAGGAAAGAGGACTTATATGGCCTTCTCAAAGTTTCACTTTCTCATTTCAGCCAAACCAGCTCTTGTTGATAAGGAGACTCGGGCAATTACTCTTGGTACCCTTGGCCTCTCCTGTACCCAGCCCTTCCCACAGGCACCAATGACCTTTCGCCCCCAATTCAAGAGCTCTCCTCGAGATAGACCCTGTTCCATTGTTAACTTTGTTTCCGCCAGTGTGACCATAGGGCATTCCCAATGTGACCAGTGGGACTCTTCCCTAACGCAGCCGTTTGGGCAAACTGGGGAAAAATAGATTTTCCTCTATTGCAGCCACGCTAATTCCTAAGCCAACTCTCAATAAGACCAAACAATGACAAAAGAACTGATCGCTTACAAGATACATTATTTACGGACAAATTTCCGGTTTCTGTTTCATAAGCTAAATCGACAAAGCTCAGCTCAAGCTGCAGTATTTCCGTGATGCTCTGTCCTCTTCCTGTTCCCCTCCTGGAGAGAACCACCAGCCTCGTTCACACTAACTGTTCTCACCTCGGCCTGATCTGCAAGACTTTAGCCTGAATACAGTGTAATGATTTACTCATCAGTACAATGAGTCTGGTTTTTATTTTTCAGGTATGTCATAACACTGGAGGAGTGTCAGATTCTTACTCGGTGATCACCAAGTTGATGAGCACAGAGGAGGGTATCTGGTCGTTCAAAGAATACTAGTTGAAGAAAAAAAAAAAATCAAACTGCAGCTACATCTTATTTAACATGTTTTCTCTGCCTTAAGTTTTCTCGAAGCAGCATTGCTATGACACAAACTGTAACCACTTCTGTGACACTGAGCCTTACCAGAGTGAGATGAGGTGTGCTTGACAGAACATAGACTTTGAAGTCAGGTGCATCGAATCTCTGTGTGTATCTGTCTGCATGTTTAACAAGCTAGCCCCTCTAAAACCCAGCCTCCCTGTTGTAAAAGAAGGATAATAGTGCCCACTCTTCAAGATCGTCAAGATAAGTAAATTGGGTAGCATATGTAAAGGGCCTTTACATATAGGGTATGTCTGTTAAATGAATGCTCAATGTGGAAGATTACCTCTTACGTTGCAATTTTGGGAATAGACAACAAATAATTACATTGTATATACGTTAAGAATTTAAATGAATGCTCAATTTTAGACCAAGGGTTGGATTCAGTGACTCAATGACCTTCTACTACCTTAAGAGGATTGATGTTCTCCTTAGCCATCTGCCTCACCAGAAGGTGGGTGTCTGGATATGGAGTCTATGTGGACAGTTCACAATGAACTGGTTGCTATTGGTACCCACCCACTAGGCTTGCCTTATTTTATCTGAGAATAAGAAGCCTAAGGAACCAAGTGAATTGTTAGAGAAGACAAGAAAAGTATTATTTTCTTAGTCCAACTGACCTTCTTAACTACTCCCCCCTCCACCACCATCTGTGCCTAGTGTAGTAGTGCCTGGTATGAAACCACCATTCCAGACATAGCGGTGTGATATATAGTTATTCGTTCTCAGCAGGTGGTGAGAGGTCAACCCCACATCAGGGTATTCATTGTCATACAGCACAGTTGGGGCCCTCTTCTCTGAGATTAGACCAGGCACTGCCAGGCTTCCTATAAACTTACAACAAAGTTGCATGTTTGAAGCAAATCACTTCTGCTATGTCTGTTAATCTCTGTAATCCTCCATCTCCAAAAAATTCTTCCTTCTCTTGTGCCTTGAGTAACTCTCCTGTTATTGCTGGACTCTTCTTCACCCCCACCACACTCCTCGAAGACATTGCCTCCCTTCTGCATACATACTCCATCATGAACAAATCTCACTATATCCATATAACCTTTGTGCTGATGGCTTTATCCAAATCTACCTTAACTGAAACCTAACTAAAATGCACCCTTCTGTCCTCTTGAGTGAGGTTTATTTATTCTTCCCCCTTTCTCAAACCAAGAGGGAGGGCTGGCATTCTCCTGGTTACCACTATGATGTCCAAACCAGAGCTTTACCACCATCCTCTAATGTTTATCTTCTGTGAGTCTCAAACTTTTCAGCACCACCTCCTTCTCTACCTCACTTCAACCGTCTATTTTCGTGCCCTGCATTTATTAAGACTAATAAAGGTGACAACCTTCTTCTCTCTGGCTCCTGTTACTTAGCTAAGCATTTGGTTTCACATATTTATAGTTGTAGAAACTTTATATGTCAGCCCCCTGCCCCAACTAGTTTAATTTATTTGTTAACCAATTCATTAATTAGTTCGTTTGTTCATTCGGTCACTCATTTAAATGTTTGATAAGCACCCAGAATATGCCAGGTACCTATAAAAAGTGTCTGGAGTTGCTGGATACAAAAAGGAACAATACAGACAGGTACCTGCTCTCCTTGAGCTTGTAGTGAAGAAGAGGGGAGTTCTAAAGATTGTGTGGAGAGTGAAAATAGAATGATAGGTTAGAGAGTGTCCTGAGAAAGCCTCTATGAAGAGATGACATTTAATCTGAATGACAAAGAGTCTGTGGTGCAAAGGAGCTTGGTTGAAAAGAAGGCCAGAGCAGTGGGAGTGACAGCCAGGGTGGCTCATCATAAGGAAAAGCTGCACGTGGAAGGTCGGCTTTAGGTGCTTTGAAGACCATAATATGTAGTTTTCAATTCTGCCTCTGAAACTCACCACCGACTAGGCAGCATCCTGACATATTGTCCTGTCAGGACACCACAAACACCACCTCCCAGGTTTGCTACTTCTGTGCTCTCTCAATCACAGATCTCCCAGATATTGATGATCATTCTGCACCTAGTACAGGTTTCTATGCTCTTTAGAGTCCGTGTTCTGCCTGCCAGCCTGAATTTTATCCCAGCACCTCTCTTGAGTCTAGTGCCCTGCCATCCACCCCCATCACCTCTGGAGCAGTGGGTGGTTCTAGTTCTGAGTCTATTAAATATTGCCTAGTCCTTATACCTAGCTTTGTTCTGAGTAGACATTGCTCAGAGTTCAGCCCTTAGTGGAAATAGACTAACACGCTAATGATGTGGAGAGGATTCAAGAATTTTCTCTGAGGGTAGACTAAATAATATTTAAAAGACCTTTACACTTTTGAAAAATCTATGATTCTAACACTAATTCACTTTAGCTTTTAAGAAATGAGATTCTCACGCTAAGCACACTGGAAAACCAGTGGTTATGAGTTTTGTTTGGTTTTCTTTAACTGTAGTACTTTGTCTCTCAGCACTGTCATTTTCAGGGATGGGTTTTAGAAACCACAAAACATTTCTCGGAAAAGAAAGCAAAAGAAACTCTTGAAAGGAAATACACATTCACACAGTGAATCTGAAAGTTTCTTGCAATTGTCTTGAAGTGAGCTAGTTCCCAAACATTATTCTCTACAGCTGTCATGAGGACTCAGACTAATGGTATCATCCTGCTTGGAATATGACTGTTTGATTCTAGCAAAGCATCAATTCTGGCCCCAGGACCCACCAAAGAGATTCAAATATCTTAAGTATTGACCATGTGCAAGATATGTCAGATGGCAAAATTAACGAGTTAATTTATTTAGTCTGACACTCCTAATCTTGAGAAAACTTTCTGCATGTTGAAATTTGTGGATATATTGTCCATGTTAAGTAATGCATTTGAAAATCTGGAACACGTAATTATCATAAGATTTTTTAACATTTCTAAAAGTTCTTCCTAAAAGTATAAAGCAGAAGAAGGAGCAGATCAGACCCTTTCCTTGGCACAGGAGTGTCATTTATTAAATGACATTTCAAATAACCTTTTTAAAGATTATTGTTTTCCTTTCTTGGCATGAATTTCTTAAACATTATAAAAGTTTAAGTATTCACTGATTCACACACTATTTTTTTCTTGCAGTAGGTGATTATTTTAACCCAGATGTGGCCAGTCTTTGTTGCCGTCACCATTGTCATCATCATCATCTGAGACTATAAGACTATTAAAAGTCCTAGTTTTCCTTCTATGTTTTTTGTTTGTTTGTTTGTTTGTTTAATTCATGAATTGCCTTTATTTCTGAGACTAGAGCTTCCTTTGGAACAGCAGATGTGGACAACTTTATTTTTAAAGTGCATTCTTTTTCCTTTATTCCATCACCAGAGACACTTTTTCTGTTTATTTCTGTTTTATCGGCACCTAACACAGTGGGCTGGTACTTTCAATAATTTTTAAAATATATGAAGCAGCCGGTCAAGCATTAGTGGCTCTGGTTTGCTCCCTCCTGCTACTTCTGCTCAGTCCCCTGACTTCAGAGGTTCTCAAACGTTAACATGCATAAGAATCATCTGGAAAGGCTGTTAAAATGCAGTTTCCTTCTATGGTTCTTAAAACCTATGTCTATTAGCAATTTCAGTAAATTATGTTTTCCCATTGTCTTAGTCTGCTATAACCAAATACCTTAGTCTATGTTTTCCTGTTGTCTTAGACTGCTATAACATGATACCTTAGACTGAGTAATTTATTTTCTCATAGTTCAGGAGGCTGGGAAGTCCAAGATCAAAATGCTAGCAGATTTTGTGTCTGGTTAGGGCCTGTTTCTAATAGATGGCACCTTCTCTGTCCTTTTATGGTGGAAGAGGCAAAGCAGTTCCCCTTCAACCTTTTTTATGACGGCACTTATCATCACAATGAGGGCTCCATTCGTGAGAGTGGAGCCCTCATGACTTAATCATTTCTCAAAAGGCCTCATCTCTTAATACTCTCGCATTAGCTATAGATTCCAGCATATAAATTTGAGGGGACACCAACAATCACCATAGCATTTGTCGCCTCAAATTGTTATTTTAAAGGTGAATTAATGTGTAATAGAATTGTCAGTGGCCACTTATATTTTATTTCATAAGTCCATTTCCCCTGCGCTGA